GCCGCTCGCTGCGCTTCTTTTGCTTGGCCGCCTTCTTCTCCTTCTTGCTCGCAGCACGCGATGGACGCTCCTTCTCAACAGGGCCCTTGCCGGACTCCGAGGCAGGGCTGGAGTCGGGGCTCTTGCGGATGGAGGCGGCGCCCCTCTTGCTGACCAGCGGCTCGTCCTCGTCGTTGTCGGCCTCGTCGGGACCGTTGGCCTCGTTGAGCTGCTCGTCGTCCTCCTCTGGGCTGCGGTCGGGGCCGTCATCCACCGGGCTGGCGTTCGGCTTGCTGCCATTGCCATTACCATTGCCACCATTGCCGTCAGGGCCATCCAGGTCGTCGATGCCGTTGCGCATGTCCTCGTCGGTCTCGGGCGGGATCTTGATGCGGTTCCTGAGCTCCTGCTCGTACTCGGCGTTGGCTGGCGGCGCGCGCGGGGCCTCCTTGAATGGTGGGCGGATGTGCGACGAGGGGTGGGAGCGTTTGGTGCCGCGGCTCTGCAGCCACAGCTGGCGGAAGGGGGTCTCGCCGTCACACAAATCAACGACTGCAGGGAAGCAGGGAGAGAGGGATGGGTGGGATGGGTGGTGGAAACAGAAGCGCGACGGTCTGCGTACAGTTGTATTCGACGGGCTCCTTGAAGAGCGCCTTCACCTCCCGTGAGTCGCACGGCAGCTTGATGCACCGAGCCTGAAGCAGACAGACAGGAGGAGGGAGGGGAATGAGCGGGCCCCTTGCGGAATCCCTCCATCTTGTCTCGCCCTCTATGCGGTGCGTACCCGCTCGTGCCAGACTTTGTAACGAATCTCATTCTGCAGACCTGCAGCCACACACATCTCATCTCCAGCCAGGTGGACGTCCAATATAATTCCACCATGCACCCGAGTGCGTGTGCGTGTGCCGTGGCTCACGTGCTTCTATGTCGTTGTTGCAGTTGAGCGTGTAGCATTCGATGAGGAGCTGCACCACGGTGCGATAGAAGGCGGCCGAGTGGTAGGTGCGGGGCGCCTGCAGCAGGTGGTGAGCACGGCTCGTCCACTTCTCGGAACGATCCCATTGCTCTGCACACACCACACCACACCACACGACACACATAGACAGACGGAGGGATGCAAGCTTGCACCCCATTCTATGTGAGCGTCGCTGACCCTTGAGTGCAATGAGCAGCGGCTGGTCCTTCAGCGTCAGATTGTCTGCATGCCACAAGCGGCACAGAAACAAGGGAATCGTGATATGGTGTGCTTGTGTGTGAGTCATGTGTGTGGGTGTGGGTGAGTGTACCTCCCTCGTCAATGAGGTTCCTGAGGTCCGCTGTAGAAGGCCGCTGGGCGGGTGGCGGAATCCGAAGCACCTTCTCGAGCTGAACGACGCACCAAGAGCCAGCCAATGGAAAAACACATGGGGATGGGGTGTGGGTGCCTGACGTACATCGCCGAGTGTGACGAAGCTCTTCTTGCGGATGCTGTCCAGCTCCTTGGCCTCAGACGATATCGACGATATGCGAGACTGAATCTGATGACCGAGCCAATCATGCACACACAGGGGCAAGGGACGGACGTGTGGCCCGGGCGTTGCGTTGCTGCCTACATTTGAGACGCTTGCCCTCTTGAGGAAGTCCTGCGATCGGTTGATCCAGCTACGGGTCTTGTTCATGACCACCTGACACACACACACACACACATCCATCCATCCACACAGACGTCAACAGGAACATGATGTGGTGTGGTGTGCTAGCCCACCCACCCCACCTTTGTCTGATCCAGCTCCTGCTTGAGGTCGACTTCCCTCGCCAGCGCCTCGCCATCAGTCCAGTACGTGTCGAACTCGCCCACAGTCATGTCACCTATGCCACACGTCAGTGACACACACACGTTGGCCGATCGTCTTGTCTGACCGACCGACCGACCGACCGACAGACTGAGTGACCGACTCACCAGCGAGTGCCTTCTGGTGTCTGGCCAGCCACTTCTTGCCCTTCCTCGCCAAAGACTCGAACGCCTTGGACGCTGGGATGATCAACTGACACACAGGCACGCACAGAGCATCCATCCATCCATCCATCTATCATCTGCAGCCACCCTCCACTGACCCACCTTGAACTGGCAGTAGTCGTCAAAGACCTGCTGCACCTCCTGCAGGGTTGGCAGCGTCTTCTGCGGGTTCCTCTGGGACCTCGTCACGCGCACACCGTCGGCGGCCGGCACGTCCTCGGGTGCGGCTGCGGCTGCGGCTCCCGCAGAGGATGGCGTGGCGGATGGGAGGACCGACAGCGGCAGGCCGCCGAGCTGTGTGGAGATGGGCACGCCGCTCCTGTCCTTCTCGGGCTCGGCGTCCTCGTCCTGCCAGATGTGGGAGAAGTGGGACGCCTGGATGGCCTCGATCCACTCCAGGGCTTTGCTCAGCCGATCCATCAAGTCTCTGCCAGCCACAGAGAAAGGCAGCCAGCCACAGGGAAGTCAATATCATGAGCCAATTACACACATTATCCTGTCTGTCCATTGCAATGATTGCATTGCGCTCCCTCTATCTCTCACTTTTTGCACTGATGTCGTTCGGCGTCGAGGTTCTGTGCCACAGGGTCGTTGAGCAGACTGTAGGCGTAGCTGGCCTTCACCACACGCCCCTGCGCCTTCTCAGCCCTGCACTCAGCCAGCAGTCAGTGGCGCCGCACTCGTTTCCTTTGTCACTTGAGTGTCTAGAGTGTGTGACGTGATGTGTTGTGTACTTTTCGATCCAGTTTGACGCCGACACTTGGGTGTTGAGGTCCTCGAAGCCCGGCAGCTCCACATACAGCTGAGGGCAGATCCAGCCACACACACAGACAGACACATGGCAGAGAGTGATGATGGGAATGTGCCTGTGTCGGTGTGTGTGTGTGTGTGTGTGCACGCGCGTGAAGTGTGTGCATCTCACGCACGTCTTTGGTGTCGTCGATGAACTCTTTGGTCTTGTCCAGGTCCTTCTCGTCGACGGCCGTGCGCGTCATCTCCTTCCATGCCGTCGTCTGAGCCACACCAGACCACAACACACGACGCGCCAGGTGAGGTGAGTGACTGCGGTGCAGCTGCTGGCTGATCCATCGTCCCGCCCTGCCTCACTTTGTCGAGTTGGTTCCTGAGAAACTGTCGCTCCGGTACAGAAATCGCCAGCTTCTCTCCCTGGATGAGTAGCTCCTCCAAAGTCTTCAGTGGCACCTTGTGGCCTACACACACACACACACACACACAACAGATGCACGTGTGTTCCCAACACACACACACACACACGCTGGCCTGTATGTGGATGGATGGATGGATGGTCCCCCACCTACCTTTGCCGGCTGTCTTTGCGTTGACGTGTGTTTTCGTGGGGTCGTTTTTGCGGAACGAGCAGCTGACAAGCCCGATGACGTCCTTGACCTTCTCGCGGTACTGATGCGCCTTGAACAGGACGCCCCTCACCTCCTCGAGCAGCGGCAGCTCGACGTACACCGCCAGGGCCGTGCCCTCACGCTCGAGCTCCTTCAACTCGTGCCAGTCGTGCTCGGGGCCTGTGTGTTTGGGGTGGGTGACACACACACATACAAGGGGGAACGGACGGATGGATATCGAGCACTCAGGGTGGGTGGGTGGGTGTGCCCGGCCCGCGTGTTGGCTGACCTGTCTTGAGCACGTTGGTGGTCCGCTCATTCCAATCTTGGACGGCATCGAGCTGAGGGAAGAGGTATAGAGGCAAACGTGAGATGGGTTGATATGATGGTTGACGTGACGTGACGTGCATGTGGATGTGGACTGGACGGGCTCACTGACTCACTCACCTGTGCCTGGATGTTCGTGAGCTGCTGCCGCAGCACGTGAATCGACGCAGGGGTTGAACGAGCCTGCACACACACACACCGCCCACACGCACACAGGCAGACGAAGTCACAGCCAATACACCCAACGACCCACTCCACTGCACTCCACTCCACTCACCCGTATAGCTGACGTGGACACCTCCCACTTGGCCGTCCTGGCCTCCCTCTCCTTCTCCCTCTCCCGCTCCCTCTCCCTCTCCCTCTCCCTTTCGCGTTCCCTTTTGCGCTCCTTCTTGCTGCTCCCGCCGCCCTGGCTGTGCCCTCGGTGCTCGAGCTGCTGCCGCTCGCCCTTCTCACGGCTGCGCATCCGGTCGCGCAGAAACGCCTCCTCGGACAGGGAGTTGAACGGTGTGGATGCACTCAAGGACTCCTTCCTGAGTCGAAGGAAGTCGTCCTCGGTGCGTGCCTGGCCGCTGGGAGTGGGGTCTGGGCGCCACTCCCTGAACACACACATGGCCACAGACACAGACACAGACACAGACACATACGTGACACGCAGATGCGCACATGACACGCACAGCACAGCAGGCAGCCACGTCAGGCACCGCACAGACACGGGCAGCACTCTCAGCACGAATCGCATCGACCTCTCAACCTCATCGGCGGCTCTGGCTACCGCGTCGCAACCTGCCTGACTCCCTGCCTGCCTGCCACATGCACCTCCTCCCTCCCCCATGTGCTGCGTGAGACAGTATGGTCATCGCCTCTCTGACCCTCCCTCCCTCGCTCCCTGGCTCCCTGCCACCTCCCACTCCACTCACAGGGTGGGCTGTAGTGTCGGGTCGGGCGGTCTCCTGTCGATAACATCAGGCTCAGGTATGTCGGGTGCCTTGAAGAATGGCGCGAGGTAGGCCTGATAGCGGTAGTGGTCGAGGCGGATGCTCTTCTTGACCTTGCCCGTCGACAGCAGCTCGTCGTAGAACTTCCGGGCAGGCGCTGCGCACACCACACACACAGCCACACACGTCAGGGAGTCGCTCCCGGCCTGGGGGTGCCCTCACAGGGGCAGGCACACGCACACAGGTCGCCTGACTCGCCTCACTCCCACCCCGCATGGTCAGACGGTCTTACGGATTTTGTGTGGATGTGCGTCGCCGTCGTCCATTCTCGGCACCGGGAAGCGATGGGAGACGCAGGAAAGGCCTCCAGGCCGCGGGGACGCCTGACTGTCGGTTCTACACAGAAAAACCGACGAGGCTGAAATGGATTAAAAAGGTGCTAGACAGATGGGCAATGATGCCACTGATGGATATATTCAAGCATTGAGCTCATCCAAAAGGCGGAAAGATCACAAACCGCCCTCCCTTCGTTCCATTTACCCCCAGGTGGGTTTGGGTTTAGCTCGCACAGAAGGAAAGCGGAAAGCGGAAAGCGGAGGGTGTGTGTCGTGGGCTGGCTCTCTCCCTCTCCCTCCCGGCCGCAAGACGGTGGTTTGACATTGAGCTAATTGCTCTGCGCGGGTCTTCTAATCAGTTGTGAGTGAGCATGCGGGCCTGAGCGCATTGCAGACGCTCGTGGATGGACGTCGGTATGTTCGGCTGGTCGTGTCTGGGCCAGTTTCCTGTCCCGGACGCCAGCCAGGAGCTGACCTTTAGCCATAGACAGGAGCGCCGGGGGCTCTGTGATGGACAAACGACAGGTATGCATTGCAATGGCAGGAAGGACAAGGAGTGCTCAATGTGATGCAGGCACTGCGTCAATGGTCTTATTCTCTCTGGTGGCATGGCACACAGGTCCCGTCAGCTCGGGCATCTTCAGTCTTGCCCGCTGCGACGTCGCCAACGGCCTGTGCGCCTGCAGCCCACCTTCATTCGATGACCCCCACAACTGGACGCTCGACCAGCCGCACCAGCTGCACCCCCTGCCAGAGGAGGACTTCATCGCCCGCGGATCAGCCACCACCAAGACCAACCGACTCATGCACTCTGCCAGGGAACACCACCACCACTCCCTCCACCCCCTGCCGTCCATCCGCACCGACCCGGTTGGCACCTCGGTGCAGGTGGTCTTCAACACGGTGTTTGGCGGGCCGCACTGTGAGCCCAGTGCGGAAAGGCTGGGGATGGTCGGGGAGGAGGAGGAGCCGCACACCCTTGATCTCAACAGTGACGAGGGGATGCCTGCCGCACTCATGGATGGAGCGGTGTTCCGCGGCGGCCTCGTGGACCCTCTGCGGACGTCTCCCTCGCCCTTCCCGCAGCCCGCCGCCCCTGGACGGGAGAGCCCGGCACAGGCGCCAATGGTCGGCGCCACAGGCCCTGCTCGCGTCCGCATGTCTGACTACAACCGGCCTGCCCTCCAGCCTCTTCTCGGTGACCCCAGCATCGCAGCGCCTCCATCCCCTTACTGCGTCGGGGCGGGTGCGCCTCCCATCCATCCCATCAACTATGGCGAGGCTCAGCCCGGCATTATGCTGGCCCCGCAGCACCACACACATGTGTCCCTCTCCCCTGGTCGCACACCGCCCGTCCGCTCGCCGGAGCAGCCGCCTCGTGAAGTGCCGCCCTCATCGCTCCCCAAGACTCGTCCGAAAGCCCCGTTCGCGCCGAAGAAATCGCTGCCCTTCTTTGCCGTGTCCGAGACGCCCTCCCGCCGGTCCCTTGGCGAGGGCATGCAGAAGATGTTCCGCCGGTGGATCGGATCGAGCACGGTGGACCGAGCCGAGTTCAAGGGGCCGGTCGGCACAGCGTCATCACAGAAGAAGGCGGGCGTCTCTTCCCTGGCCGACAAGAGGAAGGACTCCCAGCCGGCGGCCCCCGCGCCGCCCCAGAAGGTGCCGCCGATCTCTCCCCCGTCACCAGACCATCACCACCACATGGACGAGCGGCCAGGCCCGTCTGCAGCCACTCGCGGCGGTAGGCTGCCCCCTCCACGTGTGCGCGAGGACCCTCACCCGTTCCAGGCCAGCAGGGAGGAGGGCCCCTCGTCAGCCAGGCTAAACGCGCCGCTGATTCCCTACTTCTCGGGCGGTGGGGGCGGCAAGAGGGAGGACGAGGGTGGTGGTGGGCGGCCCACGCCCCCGTCGACCAAGACAAAGCCCCCTGGCATCAGTGCTGCTGTGTTGGGGGGTCTGTCTGCCCTGAGGGACATTACCCGGTCGCCGAGGGCCAAGTCGACCAAGCAGCCCACTCTCACTACCGAGGCATCCATCGCCACGGACAACGACAGCGACTGGACATTCGTACAGCAGCAGAACCACCAGCAGCAGCAGCAGCAGCCCAGGAGGGGTCAAAGGCAGAGGGCCATTGACCGCATCGACCGCCCGGGGGCCATGTTTGAGGATGGGGGCGGCTGTGAGGGCGACATGGAGGACGACCCCGACAGCAGGAGCGGGCTCAACGCCAAGGTGGTGCTCTCCTCGCCGACCATCGCTATTGGTGTGCTGTCCGAGTGCGTCGAGAAGGCCGCCAACTCACCCACGAGCAGCAAGCCCAACTCAGACAAGTGGGGGAAACGGATTGCGGACGCCCCGCTCAAGAGGCTCACCAGCCGTAGGAGCCGATAAATAGATAGGATGAATTGATAGTGGGTGTCTGTGAACGGATGGATGGATGGATGGATGGTCTGATGTGAGCAGCCTGACTGAGAGACTGGATGGGGTGCGGACTGGGTGGGTTGCGTTCTGACGGGACGGAGAGACTCGGTTTCGTTGTTCAATATCGTTGGATTAGTGTGCAGGAGTTCGTTCGCTTCACGTGATTGTTGCCTAGTGTCCATCCATCCATCATACCGAGCACATCCACATCCCGTGAGATATCCCATCCCGCCGGCATGTATATACACTCTACACACGCCTCAGGCGCACCCACCCACACAACCACCAACCCTCCCTCACTCCTCACTGCAGCACTGGCGGCCCCCCAAACGTGAACGCCGCAAAATCCCTCGCACCAGCACCACTCCTGTCACTCGGCCGTCTGGGCGGGGTCTCTGGCTGCTGCAGATACCTCAGAGGGCCGGGGATGTCCTCAAGAGCACGTGAAGGGCCGGCAGCAGGCCGCTCGGACGACGACAGCAGCTGGATCACCTCGTCTGCATCCTGGAGGAGGGCTCGTTCGTTCGTGCTGCGGTCGCGGCCGACCCAGGCGCAAGGGTCGTCAGCAGTGAGGGACGGGTAGGTGTGGGTGTGGGTGTGGGAGTGGTGGATGGTTGCCGGATGGTGCTCCTTAGGCTTCCTCATCCCCATCTGCTCGTGCCGCACGCTCGTCGTGCCGACCTTCCTGTGCTGAGGCTGTGTGGGTAAGGCCGCCTTGCCCGTGACGCCCCTCTGCCTGCTGCTGGATGGCTCCCTTCTTGTCGGCCGGCCGGGTGCACCCGCACTATGCTGGCGAGCACTCCTGGGGAGGGGATGAGCGTGACTGCGCTCTCTGGATGGGGGCCGGTTTGTCCTCACCTTCGCCTTTGCCTGCGGCTTGCCACGCCCTCTTGCCATCGGGACTCCTCTGTGGCTATCGGTCGTCTGTAGCAGAGGGGGGTGGTCCTGTGCCGAGCCGCCGGCTCTCCTCTCCTCATGCAGAGTCTCTTCAATGTCGTCGAGTGAGTCCAACAGGCGATAGAGTCGCTGGTCGAAGGGCCCCTCGCCAATAATGGGGCTCTCCACCCCCACCAGCCCCTCCCCCTCCCTCCCGATGCTGCTGATGATGCCCCGCTGATGGTGGTGACGCACGAGAAGTGGGCTTTCCTGCTGCTCCTCCTCCCGGACGGTCCCATAGCCTCCGCCACAGTTGGTGGCGCTGTACCCGAGAGGCAGCGAGTCCAGGCTAGGCGCTCGCATGCCCCTGAAGCTCGTCATGCCCTCTTGCTGCTGCTGCTGCTGCTGGTCGTTGGCGGCGGCGTTGAGGGTACCGAATGGGACTGGTGCTGGAGGGGGCGGTCTTGCTTGGTCCGTCTTGTAAATGGAGGGGGGCTTGTGGTTGTTGGTCTGCGTGAGGATCTGGCGCAGGGAGAGGGGTGAGTGCCGTGTGTGGCGGCGGGAGGATAGAGGCACACTCGCCTGTGGCGCGGGCGGGTCGGCTGGAGGGACGACTGGATGCACATGGCCCGCCCGCAACCTGTAAACCGAATACACACAAAGAACACAGGCACACGTTGAATGCCACCAACTATTTGCGCTCATATTCTGCCTACGTACTCACATGTCATTCGTTTCTCTGGCGGCGGACGCACTAGGTCTCCCTCTCTCAACCACTCCACTCCTCCCTGCCAGCACGGGGACCGCTGGCGGCCGGGCTTCAGGCAGCAGCCCCCCACCCCTCATGTCCTCCCTGCCTTCACAGCCCACGGGTTGGCCAGCCCAGGTCTCTCGGTGCATCGGATCACGAATCGGAGGTGGAGGTGGCGGGGGTGGCAATGGACGTGACACCGCTGGATGATGGGTGACATGGGGCACCCTCGATGCTGATGCATCTGCCCGCTCCGAAAGGGACAGCGCAGCAGCAGGGTGTGCTGCCGGTCTTCCCACAGACGAGTGCAGCGGCTGACGGTCCGA